GTGGTGTAAAGATTATCCAATAGGTTTCTTTTATTTTATCATTTTCAACTGTAATATTTACGCTATTTATAAATGTTAACATAGTGACAAACTTTTTGATAGACTATAATATCCCTGATCAAAAATAGCTTGAATGCGAATCCTTTTACATATTTTAATGACTCCATTAATACTAAAAAAAATCATCAAAGCTGTTTTTTAGATTGACATAACTTCAAAGATAACATTCACCTATAATGTGTAAGTTTGTAAATATATGTACATGTGTACATTCATAAACCAAGGAAAATTTTATCTACACCCTTGAAGATTATCATAACTTCAAAAAACACCCCTTTATACTTACAAATATCCTTTATGCTTACAAATGCCAATTAAAAACACCACCACTATTGTAAATTCAAAAAAACATAAGTATCCCTTAATGATCTCTATTTCTATAAATATATAATCTAAAATTTGTTGCATAAATTTTCAAAAGTCATCTTTCATTTTAAACGACGACTCATTAAGGTTAGACTTCGTTACTTTTGGTTGAGTGATATGTCTCGCGAGGGAGACCAATCTAATTATTGATAATTGAAAGAAGGGGTTAGACTTCTTTACTTTTGGTTGAGTGATATGTCTCATGAGGGAGACCAATCTAATTATTGATAATTGAAAGAAGGTCCTTATAGTTAAGTCTAATCTCAAAGAAAGTGCATTTTTTTTCATTGTATAAACATGTTATTTATGATGCAAAGAAAAATTATGAGATGACATCTAGCATAGTCATATGTACGTTTTGTGTTCTTTATGCATGTAATGAAAAAAACATTCACTTAATTTTTTGCGTGCAATGCACATGGTGCACTATAGAGGATAAAATTTTAGTTGGCCCTGTTCAACCTCCCCCCCCCCAGGGGGGAAACCCCTCTATTCTGTAAATTGATATCAAAAAGGTGTTTAAGCTCAACACTTTAGACCATATTCTTTTGTAGAAGGGCCTAAGAAGGTACATTCAACATTTTTCATCAGCACATGGAAGGTTTGAGGGTCCTAGACTAGGTGTGACTATAGTAGAGGTTAATAGAGATAGACCCTGAGTCATGAACTAGTTGACTAGGCGATGAGTGGAAGGATTTTCCTAAGTTACTATATGAGCTACTCTGCTAGACAAGTGTAAAGTTGAATTCACTCCATAGCAATAAAAGAGAGCCCATTTTTGAGAGCGATTTTAGGTATAGTTCTATAGAATATGATATTTGAGCTATCAGGACGATAGAAGAAAGATGAGCTCTGACCAGGAAGGACAAGAGAGAGTTGGGGTAGCTTAGTGGTAGAATTCGCCCTAGATAATTATGTAATTGTGACTGCGCCGTAAGGGTTCTCAGCCACATAGATAGTTCAATGTACTCATCACCGTCAAACCCTAAGATGTGGATCATGGAGCTATCATTAATGGAGGTACTAACAAGGGTAAGAGAAAGGGAAGACAAGCATTGTTATCAAAATCGTACGATTTGCAATTCAATTCGTACAATTCGATTTAGTCTCTATTTGATTCGTACCTTACTATAGAATCGTTCTTAGCCAAGAATCGCACCTAAATTGTACAATTCGATTTAAATTGAAAGAATCACACAATTCATTTTATTATTTTTTTTCAACCCTATTTCTAGTAAAACACTGTCGTATTGACCGTAAGATAGTCAAAACGATGTTAGTTTGCTAGAAGGTATATGAACATCACACAAAGACGATATCTCATTCACTCCAAATTATGGTAAGGAAGGTATTAATGATATTAGATGGAAATTGGTACGTTAATAAAGCTCGGAAAATTTGGGATTTCAAGTTAGGCTGCTTAATACTTGGTGCCTAGAGGTGTTATAGAGGTGTTATAGTGATAGTGGGCCTGTGTTAAAATTTACAAGAAGGGCCCAATATATTAAGAGTGATAATAAAAGCTATGGGCCTAAGTTAGTTGGGTTGTTAAAAGAAAAAGTAAATCCAAACTTGTACCAAATATTGAGATATTAAACTAACAAGTCATGAATTGAAATTGTGTAAGAAAGTGATTATCGCTTTAAAAACTGAGACAATAGTTTCAGAGAATCAGTTTGGACTTTGGATTTATGTCAAGTAAGTCAACTATGAAGGTTATATATTATTAAGGAGAGTGATAAAAGAATATAAGCAGAAGAACACAGATTTGTAAATGACTTTAATAAATTTGGAAAAACTTGAGTAAGGTTTCTCGAGATATGTTATTAAGGCTTTTAGAAAAAAGATAGTGATATATAGGCAGATTGATGTAACAAAAGACATGATAAGGTTGTAACTACAATGAAATCATCCGCAGGTAAAACAAGTAATATCCAATCACTATAGGATTACACCACCGGCCAGCTTTAGTCCTTACCGATTTATCCTAGTTACAAACGAATTGGTTTGACATATTTGGGATGATATTCCACAGTGTGAAATATTCGTAGATGATATTTGTTGAAAATATTAGTGGTAGTGGTTCATTCTATCTATTGTATTATGTGTACCCTTGTATGGGTATGGTCGTCTTTTCTGATTTTATTGTACACCATATAAACATGAGATGGGAGTGACAGGTAGGGTTAGAATATTCTCTTCTTAACTCTCACAACTTCTCTTCACAGTTGTTTTTCCCTTATCTTAAGCCCTAAACTTTTCAATATTATTAGAATTTACATACTAAAAGAGGAATTAACACTAAATTAGAAATTGAGAAAGATACATTCAAGTCAACAGTATTTAAAGCAAGTAGGCTACAATTTATCTTAAATGAAAAAAAAAAAAATTGGAAGGATAAATGAAATTTTTTGTAGAAGCATAAATACAAAAAAGCTGAAGTACAAATCAAAAATTGAGAGATGCCAAAGGGTGAAACAGCTTCATTACCTAGGCTCAGTTATTAATGAGGGAGAGATTAAAGAATGAAATGACTTATAGAACCGAAATAAGTTGGTTCTGGAGGAGAGAAGTGCTTCTGACATGACGAATACCAGTAAAATTGGAAAAAAAAATTGTAGGACCCTTACAAAACTAGCGATGTTTTCTGAGACAGAATATTTTTTTGATCAGACTGAGACAGAAAATTGGACTGCAAAAAAACAATACATTCACAAAGTTAGCATAACCGAAATGAGAAAGTTGAGTTGGTTGTGTGCAAGGATCAAAATGTCGTGTCGACACGTCCGAAACGTCCGAAACGTTTCGGAATTTCAACACTCCGAAACGAAACAGTAGTTGAATCACAAAATTCCAGTGTTTCGGTCGAAACGGTACTGTTTCGAACCGTTTCGGTCGAAACGGCATTGTTTCGAACCGTTTCGACAAAACAGTGATATATTCGGTTCATTATAAATAATTACATTTAATACCCATTATAATTACATTTAATACCCACTGTAATTACATTTAATACTCACTATAATTATATTTAATATCCCACTATAATTACATTTAATTCCCACTGCTCTTCTTTCTTTTATAATTTTTTTGTTATAAGAATAAATAATTACAGTTAATACCCTACTATAATTATATTTAATATTCATTATAATTATATTTAATACATACTGTAATTATATTTAATACCTCACTGCTGTGCAAGTTTTTTGCTTTTTTTTTTTGTTATAAGTATTAACAATTACATTTAATACCCTAATGTAATTATATTTAATACCTACTGTAATTACATTTAATACCCACTGCAATTACATTTAATTTTTAAGTATACATAAGTATCATTAATTTAATTTGATACCCTTAATTATTAGTATTATAATAAAATAGTATTCTTAATTGGATTATATTACCGTAATAATATGATTTGGAGTAACTATTATCATCATATTTATGTCACATATGGAGTTTCTCTAAGTAGCTACCCAGAGCCTACACCGATGTATGAGCCTGCTCGACACTCCACAGGGGAATGGATGTAACCATGTAAGTATGTACTCATTAGCATTTCATGTGTATTATAAGACCTTAATATTAGGTAAAAATGTGTTTGTTTCATAAAAATTAAGTGTTTGAAACTAATTTAAGTGACTTTCGCCTCAAGTCAAGCCTTTTTTCCCTCAAATTTAAATTTATTCTTGTATAAATTGATGTTAACTTAATAAATATGTTGAATTAATAAATTATTTACCATATCTTTATAAATTAATGGATTGCATTTGTGTTTCTATGCGTTTCCATATTTTTTCTGCGTTTCCATTGCGTTTCCGAAATGTTTCCGAAACGTTTCTATTTTTGAGTTGACCGAAACGGTACTTCGAAACGAAATTTTGATCCTTGGTTGTGTGGTAAAACAAAGAAAGATAAAGTTAAAATGAATACATTAAGATGGTAGAAATAGCATCAACAAAAGATAAATTGAGAAAGAAGGAAAAGAAAAAATTTGACACTAAATGAGTGGTGAAAAGGGTACAGCCGCTTGCACTTAACTGAACATTAACTATTGACAAAGCAAAATTAAAAAAAAAAAATATATGTATATATATATATTGAACAACCATCTACTTCAAAAGCTTCAATTGTTGGAGAAGATGTATCCTAAGTATTTATACTGCAACATGCCACCGCATGTGCTGGCTAGATTTTGGACCTAGCACATGAAAATCTTTTAATAATTAGGGAGGCAGCAAGATTCGAATAAAAGACCTCTTGCTCTGATACCATATTGAACAACCATCTACTCCAAGAGCATTAGTTATTGGAGAGAGTATAAATTAAGTATTTATATTTCAACAATATATGTATTCACATTACCAGCCACAAATGATTAGGGCCAGGCTTTATTTGGTTTGGTGTGGTATAAGCATGATACATAACCACATTACTAACCAATTGGCCCAGCTTTAGAATTTTTTTTGTAATAAAAAAGCTAAGGTATATCAAGTAAAGAAATATTGTGTGCATGTCTATCTTCGAGCATGCATGTGAGTGCATTGAGAGATAAGGAGGGGGGGTACCAGGGTGGAATTGACATAAATCTTTGGACCCATGAAACTGAACTGCAGTGAAGGGCAGGAAGCCTTTCTTCTTTGATGCCGAAGAGGCAGCTCACAAAAGAAAGGTGCCCATTGTCTAGGAACTTGGAACTCTAAGAAACATTGCAAATCATCCTGGGCAGGTTTATCTGACAACAGAATCAATTTATCAAAAAAGCACCATAATATAGTCAATGTAACTACGGAAATGGTGTGATTGAGCTGATTAATTGGAAACAAAAAATAAAAATTGTCAAGAATTTTATTCCATATAAGTGCTAAACCTAGATGGCAGGCCATATTGAAGGAACATAATAATGAACAAGGATGTTCAACAACAACAACCCCCCCCCCCCCCCCCACAAAAAAAAAAAAAAAGAAAAAGTGCAACATGAAAAAAACTCACTGCAAAGGAGAAAAAAACTGTATGAAAACCAAACAAAAGAATAAAGAAATAAAGAACAAAAATTAAAAGAGCAACCTTTAACAAGGAAAAAAGTGCATTTAGTATCTTTCATCACATCCTTGAGATATGTTAATCATTGCCTACTGTATTCAACCTTCTATAATTAAAGTAATTTCACAAAAGCAAAAGTGGTGGATCACAAAGACAAAATTTATTTCATGGACTGGGCACTGGAGAGTTGAAAAAAGAAATATAGGCCACTGGGATCTGAAGAACTTACATCGTAAATACAAGTTGATTGCATGACTTAGATAGCCATTCCCTGGAACCCCAGTAAGGAGCGAAGTAATGGGAACAAACTTAAAGAGGATTCCTTCAGGGTTAGAAGCCACTGTCTGGAGCCACTTGGAGTGGCTCTGTGAAAACACATCCCCTCCTCTTTTTGTCCACATAATTGTGACACCCTGTTCCAAATAAGTTCATGGATTCACATCCCGCAATTGTTGTTATGAATGTATTAAGTATGTTGTGACTTACATCCTTGCTTGATGTTTCTGTGATGCTGGTAAATTGCATTGGGTGTGACTGCAACATACGATTGAAAACCTCGGGAACCTACATAAATAGACCACAGATAAGTGTTATAAAGTCAAAAGAAACCACCTAATAACCTTATTTTTGTTTTTGTTTTCAAACAGCACTACCATTGGTTTGCCATCTCTTGTCTTTCTTTCTAATAGAGAACGACTGTTTCCATCTGAAAACAGACAATCTCCAAGATCCTCCAAATATCCTTTAAGTTCAGCAGGAGGAATTGCTGAAGATGGTCTCTGTTTAACACAAAGTAAATCTTGACCACCAATGGCCATCCCCACAATTATGTGTGTTCCATAAGTCTGGATGAACCTGCCAAATCAAATCCGATAAGTACTCGTGCACTATAGCAACTGCATATCAAACATCAGACAGGACTACAAATGGGTACATTATGAATTGGACCATGGTGGGAGTCCATTCCATCCTATCTGATATAATTAAGCACTTAGCTACATTTGGTAAACAGGAAGGTAATTGAAGAATCGAGTTCATTATTTCATTCAATACATTGTCACACCCCCCCTCCCCTCTTCTTTCTTCCTCCCCCTTGGAGAGATGGTGAGGTGGAGGCTTTAGTATAGCTGTAAAAGCAACACGTGTGTTGCAGCACAGCCTGGTTTACCTCCAATGTCTCTAGAATTGTTCCACAATCCTCATTAAAAAATTGTAAGCTACTCACATAGATTTTGAAGAAGGATCATTTAGTGAATTGGGAGGTTATGTCAGGAACTAAATTTAAACGTGGGCTTTCGGTGAAAAACTTGAAGGCAATGAATGTAGCCTTAGAGGGTCTAATGTGATACATAACATTTTATGAACTGAGCATTGTATTTTTCCTTTTTCATGGATGGATATCTTGTCTATCCATATTATTCATTGATGTATCATTTATTTAAAACATAGAAAAAGCGATTGAAAGAGGAAAGTCCAATATTGATAGAGGTTAAAAAAAATCACATGCAAATTCTTAGATCACTTGATAAGAACGTGGAGAAAAACCAAAACAAAATAGTTTCAACTATAAAAAACTAAAGAGGGGATGCCGCCTACTACTAAAATTAGGAGTGCCAAAATATAACAAGACCCATTAACACGTCACAAAATTAGAGAGTTTGCGTCTTCTTTAAGTCACCCGCTTTGTAAACAGGTGGATTTGATACGACACAATTAATAAACAAATCGGGAATTGGTGCAATTAATCAAAAGAGATACACGACATGACTCATTTATATACTGGTTATACACGATTCATATACAACATGAACATGATATGACGCGATTCGTTAGACATGAATTAATAAACGAATCATGTATAAATTAAGTGTTTTTTGACACGAACACATTAAAACTCGATAGGAACACATCTCACCCAATACGATAATAGACCTAACTAAAATCCCAGTTGTACTCATTTACGCAAGAAGAAGACTTAGAAAAACAAAGAAATTTAGATCAGAAAAAGCATGCTTAGAAAGTTTTTTCCCTGAGACCAAGAGACTAAAGAGGAATTTATATCATTTCAAATTGAGCAACTGACAATCAATGCACAAGGCTCCTATTTTTTCTTAAATAAAATTGGGACTTCCCAACCTTTTCCCCAACAAGATGAGGAAAAACTACAGTGGAAACTGAAATATGAATAGGCGTCTATAAATTTCTAAAATTCTTTCTTGAGCTCAACCAAGTCCCTTCCGTAATAGATGTTAGTTTGTGTGTGTGTGGCTATTTTTTTTTTTTTTTTGTTGGGGGAGACATATGCTCGAAAACTAGTCCCAATCTTAAGTCAAAGGACTTTGACTCCAGGCTTCAACTAGATCTTGCATTCAACTAAACTAAGACGACCAACCACAAGAAGGAAACACGGGCTCGTTTCCGATTAGCAGCTTGTCCTTTTTTCCTATTTTGATCAATGATCTAATGCAACCGTCATGTCTTTGTGTGCGTGACGCCTAGCTCCAAACTCTATATGATTTAGTAGGTAGGGGCGGATGTAGCAAAGTGGATCAAGGCAATGGATTGTGAATCCACCACAGGCGGGTTCAATCCTCGTAAGAGAAGCACACATAGGGAATGAAAGGAAAACCTTAGCTCGTAGCAGAACTACCCTTATCAAACTACCAATATGGGAAGGAAATGAAACTACAAATCAATAAATGGTCCCTTTGTTATGGAGAAACAAGACAAACCTAGAAAGAATTCTTGCACCTAGTGAAAATGAAGGCGTCCATGCTGGGCTGATTAGACATAGTTTGAGGAGAGAATAGTTAACTTCAAGTTCAAAAACCCATCAGGGAAAGTTTTCAAGATCCCATGAGCTTAAAGAATTTGTACAACAGTGTTGCAACATATGGTGAAACGCCAGCTTTATAGGCAAGCAGGTTGTCATTTAAGGAGACTTTCTATGAACAGGTTTGGCAGCTCACAACCATGTATTGGCCTACATATTTGAACAAAAGTTTTAGAAGGCCGAGATTAAGGAGGGCAATACCCAGTTATTGGCTTCCCAGTAAAGTCCAAGTAAAACAATAATTAAAAACAAATAAAAAGAATAATACTGTATGCCGTTTTTAACTTAACAAGTCATTAAGAAAAAATTCTTCCTGTCTAAAAAGTTCTGGTCAGCATACTCGATGTACTAAGTACAATTTATGAATACACTGTTTCTCTTCACTCCTTCCAGTCTCAGGGTTGGGACAATTATATGAAATAACTGTCGAAGGAGTTTGGCAACGGGATCCCACATCCCATACCCTGCCCTGTTGTCATCCCACCCTTCGTACTCTTCAATGAGATTTACATTTAAGAACATTGATAGTTACAAAGAATATCTTGACAAAGATTTTTCTTAGATATTGCACCTCTTTCCTTTGTCAGGTTAGGAGACTAATTTAACCAAATTGAGTTTTCTAATTTTGACAAAACTTTACTTCATACTCGGATGTCGAATTCAAAAATATGTTTCCTACACGGAATTTCATCCTCTATGCACTGATTAAGGAGTAACAGTCTCTACATTGCAATGATCCTTAGTATTTGTCACTGTCTTCCATATTGTTCGAAAATGAGAATTGACATATGACCTATTTGAAGTTGTGCACATGATGCATAATTATTTTCGTCTCGAAGGAGTAGCTGCTAATCTACTTTATGGATAGATAGATAAATGTTGAGATTTTTGCGATTATTTTTTAACAAGGGTTGCTAAATATCAAAAGTTTATTACACATAATCCTACTTCTTAGAACGGGTTGAAGGAATAGGCATTATTGGCAGAGAAGCAGCAGTAAATTGGGGTTTCTTTAAATATTTCATGTCTTTCCCAAAAGAACGGAGAGAAAACGCTTACCATCAATGGACTCACATATCTGTCAGATTGATATGAAGCTAACTTTCTTGTTAGAATAAATTAGGCATTTCCAAGAAATGTTGGAATTGAATCCCATTGTGCTAATCTGAAAAGACCCTAATTTAATGTAGAAAATATAGCATTTAGCTATTATATCACAGCCCTAGGGTTAGAACAAAATGCAGGTTCAGGTGTCGTAATAATCATAAGGGGACTCTTTATATTTGGTCAAGACTAGATAGAGCTTTCGCAAGTAGCATATGTTGTCCATCTTTTCTGACATACAAGTGGAGTATTCTCATGACCCAAATCATATCAATGCCCACTCTCGACAAAAATTGGCTTTAAAAGAGCCGCCTTCCGTCCCAATCAGCCATGAACACTCAACGAAACTGACAAAATAAAGACATGGAGGTAGGAGGAAGACTGAAGAGAAAAAGAAAAGTGGCAGTAACAAGGAGAAGGGCTTAGAGAGAAATTGCCAAGGTAAAGCATAGAAATGGGCGGTAACAGTCAAACATAAGTTTATGCAATAGATTCCTCAAATTGTAGAGACAAGATTCTTTATACAAAGTAAACCAAAAGATCCGAATCCTTTATTTTCCCTTGGCCTAAGTTACTATTTTAAAGTAAGGATCACATGATTTAAATATGAGTGTTAGGCATGTGACTGTTTGAAAGTAGAAGTTGCGGACAAGGAATAAAATTTTGTTGCAGCATATAGTTTGGGTCAACTTGGAAAAACAGAGAAAAAGTTTGACAATATTTTTCCAAAACGCCTCAAAACATTAGCTAAAACACCTCGATACATCCTAAACCACCTTAAAATATCGTGAAACACCATGAAACATAGGAATTTCGCTATTTAATAATTGATTCATTTCGATCAGTAGGTCGCCTGGAACAGTCCAAGTGAGCAATAAGTGATCCATGTGACGAAGCAAGCTAAGTGAGTGCTTGAGTGAAGCGATCCAGTCTGCTCTTCGGACACTCCGACAGTATTTTCTCCCCCCTCCTCTTCTACTTCTTCTGATTTACTGCAACTGTTTGTTGCTTATTGACCAGTTATGATGCGACCCTAAAAATTAAATTCTTCTCCTCTTTTTCTTCTTATGTGATGATCAGATTTACAATGTAATGATTTTTTTTTTTTTTGTGACGGTTTTGTTGTGTGACGGTTTTGTTGTTTTATGTGTTTATATTTTATTTTTTCATATATTCTTGAATCATTGGATTATTGAACCTAATGTTAACTGGTTTTTAAAATTTTGTAATCGTTTGTTTGGTTAGATGATTAAATCATCGAATTACATTATTTAGTTGTTTTAAGTGCTTGATTGATATGTTTGTGATCAATCTGCTTGATTGTAGTATATATGTCAACATCAAACGAAGGTTCTACTATTCGCTTCGCTGCGATAAATGTCAAGAGACCAGTTCGCTTCGGTCACTTTGTACGCCTTAAATAACACTAGTTTCGATTTTGTGGAAATGAAAATGTTTTGGTCGTTTCAGTGAAGAGAAATGAAATTTTGATCCTTCACATTGGACATTCCCCACATCATAGAGAGAAGACTAATATGACATAAAAGGGAAATAATACTAATAATAATATAAATCCATAATACAGAGCTTAGTGAGTTATTATATTACAGATATGTTAATTGTTAGTTTCAAATAAAGCACACATTTCCATCTTTTTGAAATATGATTTCAAAATAATTACGTAGAAAGGTGAAGTTTTCAACCATAAAATTAATCTACGGGCAAAATAAACCTTAAAAAACTGTTTTTTAAGAAAATTAGAAGACTGTAAAATCATATCATTTTCCTCGATCTTCCCTTTTTTCCATTTCAGTGATGTTTATAATCTAACTGTATATGATACGTGTACTCACTGAAAAATTCTGATCACATGGTTCACTTGGAGAGTATTTAACGATGTGTATCTTTTCTTTTTCTTCCCTTCTCCCGCCACAGAAAAAGTCATTTATTAGGACAAAAGAACCTAGGAGAACCAGGGCTGATGGTGACATGGTGTTGTTGAATTCCTTAATAATGTTGTAAGATGCATTATGTTATAACTTATCCTTGGTCTATGCTACATTACCACAGATAGAACGAAGCCTTGTTGATATCAGAACAATTTACAGAGTTAAATAGAAAATCTGTCAAAACAATTAAGAATAAACTAGAAAAGCTACCTGGATAACAATGCTGGATCCCAATGAGAAGGAACAGCCTTCTTTACTTCGTCTTTGAGTACTAGTGGAGATGCTGTCAGGTGCAAATAGCAGAGTGAGATAAAATAACCATCAAATGCCAGATATTTGGCATCCGCAGCATCATTCAACCAGGCTCCAGTTAAATCAAATAGAGCATTAATATAGCCCGAAGGAATTTTTCCTTGTACTGAAGATTTCTGATTAACTAACTCTGACATCTGCAAGACAAATTATATGGAAAAGAAAACAAAAAGGACTTTAGACTAACCAAAGCACAGAAAGCTAAACAGACTGTAAAAAGGATTGAAGAAACCATATGTATAAACTATGAACCAAGCAGATGAAAGTAATGAGAGCACATAAAAATCCAACCCTCCCCCCCCCCCCCCCCCCAAAAAAAAAAAAAAACAACTTAAACATATTTTAAAGCTCCTCTCCAGTGTCCAAACCAAAAGCTCAATGGTACACAAACTTAAACTAGTAGTCAGGTTCAATGGCTTGAGCTGGATGTTTCCAACCAGGTAGTAAGGCAAGAGACACTAAGCCTCATATGTTTATATCTGCAGCTTCAATCTGGTATCCATGCACAGCAAATACGTCATCCAAATTAATAAATCCAATGGCCCAAGCTATATCAGTAAAGGGAAAAAATCTTAAGGCCTCAGCTATGTATGTCAAAACATCAGTCCCACAGGCCACAGCTCACCCAACCACATTTAAAATTTTCTCCCTATCTCACATACAACTTGAAGTCAATGCTCCACTCATATAATATTTATTTACAGTTAGAAAGCTGAATTTTCAACTTATAAAAACAAGTCAAGATTGATTCAATTCTTATCTACTTTGTCTAATGGTACAAAATTCATCTCAAAATATATTTATTTCCTGCTCAAAAACATCATTTTCTCTACACGTCTCCTAATGTCAAATAACTCAACCAACATTCTCTCAATTAAGCTGAATTCTCAACTTATAAAAGCACAATAACTGTCAAAATTGATCAAATTTTCATCTACTTTGACCTAATGACATAAAATTTATCTCAAAAAAGTTTTTTCGTTCAAAAACATCATTTTCTTTGTACGCCCCAAATACCAAACAACTCTATTAATCTACACCTACATCTCTTTTAATTTTCTTTATGTTCACTTTAATTTTAAATTGTGTAATTAAAGAAAAGGAAAGAAAAATAAAATTGTTTTTTAAAATACAAATATTGCATGATCAATGTTCGATTTTTAGAATAGGAAAGTGTCTTCAAACACGGATTATTGCTAGTTTGCTGATAAACTACCACTCGATTACAAGTCCATTAAGGGACGGACATCAAACGTTGACTTGCTCAATTGAAAGCATCCATTCAATATCAGTATATATCCTTTTGAGCCAAGCATATGCGACATTTCATCAATCTCTTTACTTGTTTCCTAAGGTATACCTTCACCATAAGCTCCATCAATATTTTATCAATCAAAATCTCTACCATCACATACCAAACAATCTAACACATGGAAACTCAAAATGAATTTTCAATTTTCCATCTCAGGTATATTTAATATTAGTTTGTTCACACATATATTATTACGGAACCAATATTAATAATTAACAAGTATTTTTTTCTGAAAAACAATTATACAGAACAAATTATCAGAGATACAAGGAAATCTAAGTTTGTGCTTAGAATAGTTTACAACAAATTACCTGACTGAATTCGAGAACGTCAGACTTGAACCGAATCCGATCCCCTTTATCTACTCGGATGTCCTCTGATACGCCTTCGATTACACCCCCTCCCCCGCCAGGAATCACAATGTCTCTCTTATTTTTCTCATCCAAAACCACCAGTCTCTCACCATTAAGGCATTTCTTAGCGAATTTTAATCTGAAATCACTCGCGAAATCAAATCCTAACCCTAAGGAATCGATAGCTCTGAGCTCAATTGGCTTTCTTTGGTAGTCTTCCATCACTGCCTCAAACATTTTGAGTGAGACGGAGTTCTTCGGAGGTTGAAACAAAACAGCGTTGCTCTTTATTTAGAAAGACTGGAGAGCGAAGATGAGAGTTGTGATGATGATGGAGAAATCATATGAATTAGGGTTTATAATTCGCTGGCTCTGAGGAAGTCAGATAATTAGATAGAAACAGCTGACCAGCGAAGGTGATGAAGAAGGAAGGTTGGACTGTTGACCAGACCTGGTGCTTCGTCAGCCGAAGTTTCGGACTCGGATGGATCAAGATTCATGACAGCACTCAAATAGTTTGGGTCAATTAACTTTTCGGTATTTTGACCATCTCCAAAAAAAAAAAAAAAATTTAAGAACAATGTTATTAAAATCTAATTTATTGATCTAATTTGTTAATTTAATTTATTATGACTTTTGTATTGATTGTGAGTTATATCAAATATTAAAATTTGGTGTTAATCTAATGATTCTAATGAAGTCACGTCATTAAATCAACAAATTATGTCAAATTTTTAGGTGCAAATAGTATTTTCTAAAATTTAAACTCTTATCCAATTTTGAGTTAAAAATTTAATTTAAAAAAAGAGAAACTTAAATTTAAATAAATACAAACTTAAATTTATAAGAGGATAAAATATGACTCTTAAATTTTTAAAAGATAGTGAAATCTCAATATTAAAAATTTAGATATAGATTTGGGTCTCCCTTTATTTGAGTTTAAAAAAGAGTTTTTTTTTCATTTGGTATGGATATGGGTCTAGTATTGAAGAAACATTTTAGACTATTTTTACTGAAATTGAAATTTGAATACAAAAATAAAGTAAGAGCTAGTGATGCTCTTATACATTACTAGTAATGCACCACATGTGTTACAAGTAAATAATTTTCGTATATAAAATATTAACAAAAAGTTTAGGTATATATGTACTTAAATTAAATATTATTTCAAGTTTATAAAATGACAATAATTGTCAATATTATAATCAATGTTTGTTTTTTAAGAGTAACACAATCAATTAAAAAGTTTTATAAATGTTGATATTTATACATAGAGAATTAAAAGAGATGTGAAGGATAATTTAAAAATTTAAATACATAAGAATATGATGATAATTTAAATATTTAACTATGGAAGGATAATATGGTATTTAAAATTCTTTATAAGTATAAAATAGTTAATCAAAAAATTTTATGCATATTAGTAGTATAGATATAGATTTTATATTATTTCTCATTTTTTTTTTAATAAAAATATGGGTGGGACTATTCTCACTTCTCAAATCTTATTTTCCACCTTATTTAATCATCTTATTTTAAACTATTAAGTTCACTCAATCTATACTCACCTCATTAGTTACTAAACTCACGCCATCTATATTCACTAATTAAAAATTAAATTCATTCAATTTTGATTTCAAACTACTAAATATGCAGTGATCCAAATTTTAGTTCGGTGTATTATTTCGGTACAAAAATATTTCAAAAGCAGAATACAAATTAATAATTATTTTTAAAAATTAGTCAAAATACGCCAAAAAATCTTAAAACACATCAAAATATTTTAAAGACATTGATAAAAATATATCAAAATATTTTAAAACATCTCAAAATAATATAAATCATCTTGAAACATTGAAATTTCTCATCAATTACTATTTTTATTTTGGTTTTTTTGACATATATTTAATAGTTTAATTGAATGGGTATAAATGGGGTGAATTTAGTAACTAATGAGGTATGTATAGATGAGGTGAATTTAATAGTTTGAAATAAGATTTAAAATAGAGTGAGAAAAAAGATTTAAGAAGTGGGCATAACCCTACCCTAAAAATGTAGATTATAGAATCTATAGCATCAAAATACATGTAAAATTTAATTATTTTATATTATTTTATTCTTTTTATAATTAATAGCTATAGATCAACTAAGCAAAAATCTATGATTATAGATTAATTTCAGTATGATATCAAATTTCTTATTTGGTATTGTACTCATCTAAAAACATCACACATATAAACTTTTATATTTTTATTATTTTATAATTAGGAATATAAATTTACTATATTAAATTGTATAATTATCAATTAATTTTGATACAATATCCAAAAAATTCCCTCACGAACTTATCGTTGGGCAGGTTTTTGGCTCATAATTAGATTTGTTATTATTTTAAATAACATATTATATTTTGTAATATCATAAGACTACGTATTGAAATTGACATCTATATAAAACAATGTTTTTAGAGACTAAAATAAACTATTACATTTGATTACGAAAATGGATTGGTAAACTCATTTGTTATAGTCCTTGATCTAATTTGAAGGCCGCCCAGGATAGGATTACACCCAACACTATTAGCATAAAAACTACCAGAAAGGGGTAGAGGGAGAATTTTATCAGCAAACTCTACTTTGGGCAATAGATCACCACTTTTAGAAGCCCACGTCATATTTTGGGCAAGAAGCCACCAAATATATCTCAAATATTCTTTGATAAATATGTTACAAAAACAAGAAACAATGTAACAATAGATAAGTTCATACTCTGCCTCTTAAAAAACTCTACTGTATTTTTTTCTTCCTCAAACAATACACAGCACCTAAAGAACGCTATTGTGTATTTTCTTCTTCTAAGCAATACACTCTCTAAGAGCAAGAGTCACTCTTAGACATTGAACTACTCCTATTCTTTAGTAGGGCACATCACTTTAATCTTTGCATCTTATTTGCTCAATTTGGTCATTTATTACCATTAATCAATAGCTCATCGATCACAATACTTCACAATTTTTTGCACCATCAATTTTGGCGTCATATGTGGAACAATTTTGTTGTTATAAACTAAATCTCTCATTGTTGATTGATGGTCCAAACCAGAAGTATGAGTCATAACCCAAAAAATTAACCAAGAGCCTCTTTCTCATACTATCTGATGCTACGTTTCTCTCACTTAGTGCTCTCCTGCTCACACACCTCTCTGATTCCTCTATCTCTCTCTCTCTCTCCATTCCTCTCCATCTTTGCCTACACCCCATAAATGCGTCAATGCTAGTTACCGCCTCAATCACGGTATTTTACTCTAACTCTTTGGTCAATGTTCCCACAATAAAAACTTTTCTTGAATTTAAAAATAAAATTTTTGAAAGTAGTATCGTGTACATTCAATACTCTCCAATCGTAATCATCAATTTTTCAAAAGGATAATGATGCATCCTTTTACTCATATGCACACAACATAAATTTTCTAAATCACTTCAATGTTTTATTTGTAACTTTAAGAAGTTATATTTTTTTCTTTTAGAGCATCTTTAATCTTGACTCAAATGTAGACTTAAATTTAAATTTGAGTCAAAATGATCTAAAAAATTTCTCCAACGTTGGACTCAAACCTATACTAAATTAAGACAAAATTTATTCTAAATCCAAATTAAAGCAGACTCAAATTCTATATCAAATTTGTAACGGTAACTTTTTAACCTATTCAAAACTAAAAAACTTTTTTGATTACTTGTTTTCTATCTCTTCTTGCTTTTCTCTATGACACTGCTTCCATCTCCGACTACCACCGAAGCTTTCACAAATCATTTGAAGGCCTATAGGTAAGTTTTTTGTTTTTGTTTTTCATCTTTCATCTTCTTAATTTCTTGTATTTTTCAAAACTCTAATCTCACTCATCTTTCATACTGTATAAACCTTAAGCTTACCCATCAAATTTTTCTTTGATTTTTTCGAGTTAAACACTGTCGGTAATATAATTTCAAACCATCGATTCTTCCTGAAATTTTAAGCTTTCGGTATCCACATATTTAAAAAATTTGTCATTTTATTTCTTCAATCTTCCTTTTTTGTTAAAAAAAAATATGTTTTTATGTTTTTCAGACCATGCCCATGTTAACTATTTTTTTCTCTTTATTTGGATTTATAAAAAATGATAAGAGATTATAATAATCTTAGAATTCTGGAGTGGTTTATTTATTTTCATATAGTGTTATATACGTATTCATTTTTTTTTAATTATCTATTTGTGAAGAGATGAAAGTTTTATTTATTTGATCAAATATTATGATTTGAATGATACAAAAAAATGAGTTTTGGGATAATAAGAGAATTTTTTAAAAGATTTGATTAGATATTTGAGTTTGACCATTAGAGTTCTCTATATCAAATCAAACTTTTTACTCAAATTTAAGTCTAAAATTGAATCATAGTTAAAAATGCACTTATACGAGAGAGCTTTTAATCTGAACTCGGGTTACCAATCAAATTTAAGTTTCAATAGCAATTAATGTCCCAAATCAATTAAGTCTGATCTAATTGGTTACCTTGATTCCTTCAAAAGATTTATGAAGATGTCAAGGAATTTATTTCTCTGTCCCTTTTTTTAAAGTCTATGGGTGTATTTGGCTGTTCGGAGTCGATTAGATAGGATATCAAAAATCAGTAATGTTACATTAATCAAATTTTGGGACAAAATTTAAAACCCAAATGACACGAGAACAGATTATTTAGAGTCTTTATTGAAGCCTAAATGTCATAACACTAAATAAAAAAGCCCAAGTCAACAACCACGTCATTTGAATTTTAAATTTAATTTTAAAATTTGGTCAGTCTAACGTTACTGATAAAAAATATGGTCTTGTCTATTCAAACAAAACTCAGCCAAATTCATATTCGGATTCGATACGTATCCATGCCAGATAAACTAATTTTTCATCTCCCTAGAGTCCATTGACAAAGGTGATTTAAAAAACATTTTTTTTTTTGAACTGGGATTTGAAAAACATTAAAATGATATGTTTTGACTATTATACCCTGAACTATAATCCAATACTATCTTATGTTGCGCGGGTTGCATGTGTATTAAATTTTTTATTATTATTTCTTGCCTGATGGACTTTTTTTTTTCCCTAATCGCAATGATACGGGAGATAGAAAATTATAACTAGGCGCAAGAGGTGTTAAAATATAATACGATTCATTAATATGATATATACACAATATAAAATTAGAAGATTTAAATCTTCATGAAATCATCAGTTTCTTAAACAAGTAGTTTCAATGTGATATAATTAATAAATAAATCAAATATAGATTAAACCAATTAAAAGAAATATTCGACACTATTTATTTATATATCAATTATATATGTTTTATATAAGATATAAATTCGATACGACAAATTTAATTATATAGGAATTAATAAATAAATCAAATATATTTTAAATACTTCTTAATAT